GAGGTGCACGGTAAGGGGGTCTGGCCCACAGACTAATTAATATTCGAATATCCTCAGAGGAAAACTGAAAATGAACGCAATTGTTCTACAAAAATCAGATCTTTTTTTTAAAACTTATCTATTGAGAAATATTACAATCTATCACAATTAAGGGCATTTAGTTCAGAGAACACATTCACACTATATTTACGATAAATAATACAGAGAAATAATAATACTAATAGTAAATGTAACATGCAAATAAATTAATGTTCATGTCTCATATAATTAAAATTATCTGTTTGTTAATATGAACAGCTTTGTAATAGTAAGTTGGGAATGCCAAATCACCCTATGGCTTTTTATTTTAAGTACAGCCGGGCGGACTGCATGCAGTAACAAATTGGAATTACCGTGGATTGCAAGAGCCGTTCGATTCCAATTCTATAATAGATTCTGATCGAGGCAAATAGAACTGGAAATTTACATAGAGATAGATGTCAGTGGATTCGATCCATACAAATGTCTGCCAGGTTTTACTGCGGCTGCTTAGTCACGGCTTGAGGAAGCGACATACGGCAACCATTTGTTCGAGCCGACCCAATGTCACAAGGTTCAGAGACATATGCCAAGTCCGTCTTACGTGTTAACTGATCATAAAACTGTTTACACTTGACACATAAGTGAGGAATTAGTGTTGTCAATGGGTTGTGGCACGGCAAGGAACAAATCAGGTGCAGGTAATTGCTAGTTCCAGAGGAGTCGCACCTGCCTCCAACCAACTCGAATAGGCATATGGGTGTCGGATGTCTGAGGGCTATTTGCATATCGACTGGTCATGAGCTGTCAATCTTCTATGATTCTTGTTTTATTTATTCATTAGGATTAATCGAAGCTCTATAACTCCTGGTTGATTGAACAGAGGGAGGAGTGCAACGAGGCCATTACATCCCGAGAGGCAGATAGAGACACTAACATATCGCTGGCAGTATGTACTACACGTGGAACGCCAACACGTGGGAGATGTCGCTAGTACGAGTTGCAATTAAGCGTAGCGAAGATATTTGTACCAATCAGGGGCGGCATTAATACGGCTAAAAGCCTTCGCCCCAATTCCGCCGTTCGCGAGCGTTCGTTCATTGTGAGGTGAAAAATGCCTGGGGGATTTATTGGCGGTCTGAAAGTCTATTAACACTCCCGCGACATCCGTCAGCCTGCTTTTCTCATCAGCTCCTCATTCATCTGTCCTTTGGTATTATTAGAATTTTTTTTTTATTTAATAAAAGATTTTTTTATTAAAGCATTTTTATATTAAGATTTCTTGATTATGCATTTATCCAAACTGTCAGTTCAAGATGATATTAAGTGGTAAAATACTTGAAGGAAGATTGAACTAAAAAACTGTAATCTCACATAATGTATATTACGAATGATCGAATGATGTATGAACTTTTTCTAAATTTAATTTATCTATGTATCATTATGTCATATAAATCAATTTTATCATAAAATTATTTTTATCTAAAAAGAGAGATTTTACCATATAATCTTTAATTAATTTTAATTATTTATTGCATATTTGTATCTTGTTTTAGTTGTACGTGTAGCTATCTGGTTTTTTATTGTTACAATTATATGGGGTTTTAAATAGTCTAGCATGCTAGTTATTGATATATCTAATTTAGCTGTTATAATTAGAGAGAGTATGATTTAGATTTAAAAAAAAAGAATGGAAGACAAATGTATGGAAAAAAATAATGTATATATATATTTATGTATATTTTTTAAAATATTTTATGACAGACTAATCAGTATGGTGTGTCTGTATCAGCCGAATATATATGGGTAGCACCATTTTATTATAATAAAGTTTTTCTCTCTTACTTGTTTATTGTAAGTAAATATGAAATTTCAGTGTCAGCACATTATAAAATTGAATTTATCTCATTTTTTTAGTTGAGGGATCTTTTTTAAATTTTCCTTCCTCGCGGAAATCATGATAGATTGATTCCGCCATCCATAAATAAATTAAGTGCTTTACAATAAATTCATATCCCAAAGAACCTTATTTGTTCAAAAATTGCGATTGAAAATTAGCCTATGTTATTTACGCAAAGATAAGGTACTCATTCAAACTCAGCATTTTTTTGAGAATTAGGAATATTAGTTAATTAAATAAAGCGCAGATAATGTAATTGTATTTATCAAGGTGCCAGAAAATGGAATGATGCAACATTTATACCGAATTGCGGCGTAGATAAAAAATGAAAATTATACACGTTACCAATATATCACTAAGGAAAAAAAAAATATTTTTATTCTTTATTGAATATTAATACATTCTGCCACATTAAAAGGCATTAATATTAAGGCTACATGAATCATTGACACAATATGTACATACAAATAATAACTACCTAGGACTCCATCTGGACAAACGTCTAACTTGGAATCATCATACCAGACTGAAACGACAAGAAGTTTCCGAATACTTCAACACTTACTAGACAAACGCTCTAACCTACCAATTAATTATAAAAGACTTATTTACATGACTATAATAAGGCCTATTTGGACTTACGGAATTGAGCTATGGGGCTCCACCAAATCTTCAAATTCCTCTCGCATCCAATCCTTACAATCCAAAATCCTTCGTAAAATCCTCAATGCTCCTTACTTTGTTACAAATAAAAGTATTCATAATGACCTTAATGTTCCTTATGTATCAGATTTGGCCCAATCCAGATATCAGTCCTTCCTTAATAAACTTCATAACCACTCCAACCCTCTTGTTTCTAACCTTGCTTCCTATTCAATTCCTAACCCTCCGAGACGTCTGAAAAGAAGATGGCCACGTGATCTTCTAATATAGACATATTATTAGAGTGCTACCAATGGGTAATTTCTCAACATGTGTACCATGTCATTATATCCATGTGGGAATTTACCAGATGTATTTTGTTGTATACAGTTGTAAATATCATATAAAAAAATAAAAAACAAATAATAACTGAGAATAATAGAAACAATAAAGAAAAAGAAATATAGAAAAAAAAATAAGGAAATAAATAATAGTGATAATAAAATAAAAATAACATCTTAGACGCAGGCATACCTATAAAAAATAATTAGAGCTCAGAGACTTGTTCATCTTTCTCTTTCCTCAGCTTACGACTATGAAGTCTAGTCCGCTTTTTCCAAACTATTAAGATTAGTTCAATTTCAGCTTATTTATTTCTTGATTATAAAACTTGTACGTTTATTCCACTGAATCTACCTCGTTTAAAAAAATTATTCAAATCTGTCCTTTTCCTTTGATTTCTTTAAGGAGTTTGCCCGTGAGGATCATAAGAAAACTTCTTGATTCCCATCAGTCTATATTACTGACATAGTTCCATCCGCAGGGCAATATAAACATAGATTTAAAATTACACAGATATCTCTAGTCCTTAAATAAGTTGGGATTGTACTATGTTAAATATATGAAATCTATATCAGTATTACTTCATGCATTATTTAAAATTTATTTTTCCCATTGTGTCGAACTATCTAGTTATATTAGTAGCATTGAACATTGTAATATAAATAAATTAAACTTTATAAGTAATTTAATTGAATGATAGAAGAATTTAATTCTTTCTCTTTTTTTCAATGTCGTTTAAAAAAATAAATGCTTAAATCGATGAATTACCCTTTTAAGCATCTCAATAAAACTGAGTGTTAAAAACAATCAGTAATCGTCTTAAGTCATTGTAAATCACAGGTATCATTTTCAGGTTACAATCCCTCAACTACCCATTTGATAACCACCATTCGTTTTGTCATGAAATAATTTTTAAAACAAACCGATCTTGTTTTGAGTAAAGTGGGATGAAGTCAGCCAGTTTGCTGATTAGGATGGTGAACCGAGATAATTTTTATTTATTTTTTTCATTCAAGGGCTTATAAGCTCAAATTATGTAATTAATGAAGTAAATAAAACCTTATCAATATCTTTAATGAAATTTAATTTTTCCCTGTTACAACTTATTAAAGTTTACAAATATCGCTGTTGTCTAAACACAATTAAAAGAACAGTTCCTATGTTATCTTCAGTATTAATATTATGGGATGACGCTCAAGAATAAACACATATATATTAAAACAAAGAAACATATATCACTAAAACCCATGAAGAGTTTAGTGTTCAGCACTTCGTTAGGAAGTACTGTTTGCAAGACCAGCGTTGTGCAGGGAAATGATCACAACTCAACCACAAAGGTTTCCCATCTTAATTGATTATTAAAACACATTTCATGGAGGCTGGCTAAGCCTCAGAATGATTTCCCAACACAAAGTTTGGTCACGGCTGATATAACGGAATAAATATCTGCCATCAACTGGATTAGAACCCAAAGCCTTTAGCTGACGAAGTTAATACCTTACCCACTGAGGAGCTTCTTCGCTCCCCGTTCGAATAGAAGTAATGTTCAAGAGATAATCGAGTCACAGAAATACTGCCACAAATATACTATAAACACATACCTAGTCGTGTCATAAATATTTTTACAAGGAAATATATACAGATTTCAACATGAAAATTAATTTTTTTCTAAAACTTTATCAGAAAATAAAATGTATATCTATAGAGAGTAAAACAAAATGTCCCCCTTTTGCATTGACACAGGTATTTAATCTTCGTGGCCAGTCATCAGTAGTAGCACGCAGCACTTCTTGAGGAAAGCGCTCAACTGCTCGAACCAGAGATTGTTTGAGGCTTTCCAAGTTAGGGTGTGCTCTGTGGCAAGCCACCCTCTCAAGTTCGGACCACAGCTAATCTAGTGGTTAAGATCAGGGCTTCATGAGTTCAATCCGTGTTAGAGATGTTGAATGTTCTTCTGCAGCCACTGCTGAATTGACCTGGCCTTGTCAGCTGGAGCGGAATCCTGCTGGAAATCCCAATGACTTCCAGCAAACAGAGTATCGTTTAGAGGCTTGACAACAGGTTTCAAAATATCGTCATGATGGTTTTCAGCGGTTATTTAATCCTTTATGGAGCCATCAACGCAAACTTCCCACCAAATTATCACTGAGGAAGCGTGAAGACCTCTTTCCACTCTTACTATGACTTCCTGGATTTCTTTAGAGCTATGTGCGTACACATGATCATTTTGGTGATTTTTCTTCAATTGTAAAAATTTTCTCATCGCTAACCAAATCTTTCGATGAAGACGTATAAGGGCCAAAGGACGTGTAAGGTGTAATGGCCAAGTATAAGGGAATAAAGACTTTGCATCTATCCACTCTAATTTTTTTAGGAGAGTGATTAGCCTTTGTCCTGTCATTCTTCGAAATGCACCCATCCTAAGGTCACTTTTTACTATGCGAGACATTGATCTGACAGAGATTCCTACTTCCTGAGACATGATTTGTTGTTTTCGAATGGTATTTCTTCTGATTCGAGCAGCCACTACTCTCACTGCATTTGCCGTTCTCATAGTGCGGGGACGGTCCGGTCGAGGTCTGTCACATTATATCTATTTATAGTGCGGTACACGAACATACAGCTGATACCCAAAGGTTTCAAAGTGTTAAAAATCTCTAACCTACATTTGTGTAAGGCGATCACAGCTGTTCGGTTTTATTTACATCCCACTAGATGTTAACTGAGCGAAAGAAAAATACAAAATATTTGGGATTATTATAGTGAAATTTAAAGAAAATAACTTGATAGAGGTAAGGATTATCATGCCCGAATAATGCCCAATGATGTAAACAAAGTTCAACATTTGTAACAGTATTTATGGCAGAACTAGGTAAATGGCTGAACATGCGGATTTTAGACCCAGACAACTTGAGTTGAAAACCGGCCATCGAAAAATTAAGTAAATAATAATACTTCCCTTAGTATCTAGTAACTGTAGAAAAGCAAAGAAATTAATTAAAAAATTCTAATACTTCGTGAAAATCTGATCTTAAAATTTTTTTTATAAAACAAATTTCTGGTTCGAATATTTTCCTATCTCCTCCAGCTGTTCGAAGTAATTGATGTGGCACACTGCTCATAAGACTTTCTAATTGTTGATGGAAATAATTTTTTATTTAAGCCAAATTATCAGCTCTACTGGAACAGGCTCTGTAGTAATATTTCAACTGGAGCTGAGAATGTAAATGTATTGTACAAAGGAACATCTACTAGGGAGATAAGGAAGGCATTGGTAATTACGAAGGACTAGGAGCAGCTTAGCAACTGACTGATAGTGTACAATATCCTAATCAGATTTGGACAGGAAAGGGAGAGGGAGGAGGACTTAAGATCTTGCCTCTTTCTAGACGTGGATGGAAGAGTAGCTCTTCCGCAGCATTAACCAAATTAACATCTGTTAGCCTTCTTGGAATTGTCATCTAAAGAACAATAGGATCATAATAAAACTAGAGGCTTTAGTTCGAATAACGGGTAATGATCGAAAGCAGTTATAATAACCAGATTAATTATTTTCCAATACATTTTTTTTTTATAATTCAGAGACCAAAATAAGAAATTTTACTGGTCTTTCAACAGAGAATGAAAAGAAAAACTCTGACTCATAGTGAATAATCGTATATCAATATTTCTAAAATCACTAACCAAAAAAAACCTGGATTAAAAAAAAGTAAATGATAATTTCTTGTATTATCCTTAATATTTTTTCTGAGGTCCCACTATGTCGGTTTATAACCAAATATGTCGGTTTTGATTTCCAGCAAAACTTATAAACTTTTTAGCTTACAATTTTTTTTCGTTATCGCAATGTCGTATTCCTTCGATTTACAGAACGCCTTTTCTATCCATTTTTACTAAATAAATAATTTAATTTCGATGAAAGATATTAATAATCCCACAGTTCATTTCTTTAATATCATTTATGATATTTCTTAAATAATGTCGATACTTACGTCATGATAGCTAAGAGCATTTTTAATTTTGTATACACAACACCAATATTTGTAAACTCGATGTTGTAGAAGTTCTGTAATAAATTTCATTACAGATATCGAACAGCTTTTATTTGTTTTATCAATTATATGATTCAAAGTAATAAACCCTTGAATGAAAAAAACAGAAGAAAAATTATCTTCATGGGCCACTCGAATAAATAAACTCGGTGACTTCATCCCACTTTACTCAAAACAAGATTGGTTTGTTTTAAAAAAATATTTCATGACACAATGAATGGTGCTTAACAAACGAGAGGTTAAAAACTTGGAATCTGAAACTGATAGCTGTGATTTACAATGAGCTGATAAGGTTATTGTATTTATTTAACTCTCCGTACCTGTCAAGTTAGTATAGGCCTCTACCTAATAGTAAACTAAAAAAAAAAAGGGTAGCTTATAAAGCTTTAAAAGTAAAAACTTTATCTTTTGAAATTGAAAATCGTAAATATCAAACTAAATTTATTATTTGATCATTTTTAGAATATAGCATTTCTAATATTAAAATATAAATATATATATATATATATATATATATATATATATATATATATATATATATATATATATATATATATATAAAGGTTAATGTCTGAGAGTTATATCCGTTCATATTAACGCATCTTGAAAAATTGGTATTTTAATTTTTTTTTTTTAAGCTTATTTATTGAAAAATATTACAATCTGTCTCTAGGACATTTATAATAGAGTTTACAGATCACATTCACACTCTATGTACAATAAATAAAATAAATTATACAGAAAAATAATACATATACAATAAATAAGAATAAAATAACCTAAAAATAAATAAATAAAAAGAATACATACACACATATATACAATAGGTATTTTAATTCAAATTGAGAATTTTAAATTTCAAATATCTCAGGAGAAACACACTTTCTCTGCTCACTTTAAAAAATAAGGATCAATTTTACTTAATAATAATAGGTAAAGAAAATTTATTTTCGTGCTTATATTTATTACTTTCCTGATAACCCTCAGAGACGTCTGAAAAAAAGATGGCCCCGTGATCTCCTAATGTAGTCATATCATTAGAGTGCTACCATTGGGTAGTTACTCAGCAAGTGTATTCATGTCATTATATCTATTATGTCCAAATTTACTTGATGTATTTATGTAATACAGTTGTAAATGTCATTAAGAAATTAAAAAAAAAATATTTATTACAATAAATTCCTGCCTCATGGGAAAAAATGAAGCTTAGCAATAATTTATTGAACCCATTTTTATTGAAAAAAAAAACAGATATTTTTCGGTGACAGAATATCAAATATTTGGTTTAGGTTTGTTATAGAATAAATGGAAATTAACTTGAAGTTGAGTAAAAAAGAAATGTCTGATTTCATATTCTGTCTCCTAAAAATGTCTAAAATGATTACAATAAATTATTGCAATGCTTTATTTTTTTTCCATGACCCAGGAATGTATTATACATATTATACATCCCTATTATCTATATTTATCTATATTTCCTGAAAATATAGATAAATTTGGGAGATTGAATATCCAATGATATCGTTTTGTTACAACTATAAGTGAAACCCAACTTAATCTGTGACAAACCTCAACCTAATTGTAATAGACTTAAATTTTATAAAACAAGAAAGTTTTCTAAATGTGGGGTGCCTTTAGTCCAGTTGGAGGATATTGAAAAAAAATCTCACATAATTCATGATTTGATGAAAGCAGAACTTATCATAATTTAGCCGCTTAAAAGCCCACATAAAATAGTTTTGACAAAGACAATTCAACATTCATTTAAAGTAAATTTAATAAAGTGGCGAAAACAAATATTTTATTTTTATATATTACTACTTTGCTCTGCCAGGATGTTATTATGAACCAATCGATTTAGTTACTTGTGTAAAACAAGAAAAATCTATTGCTTATTGTATAAAACAATTGAATTTTAATGTATAACAAATTACAAAAACCGAATGACGTTACAAGTAAACTATGCCAGGTAAATTTTGGTTAAGAAAAAATGATTCAGATTCGTTTACTAAAATATTTTTAAACCCTCAGAGTTTCCTCTTAAGTCAACTTTCAAAGAAAACTAAATTATTGTTCTTCAAAACCATACCAACAATTTTTAGATTTGAAGCCTTTATAAGGAATAAAGAAATAAAAAAGATTTTTGGAGTGAAAATTTATTTAAGCGAGTTTAGCATTTTTATTTTTTTTTTTGTGGAGAAGTAATTACATTAGGCCGTCAGATTTCCAATGTGTAACGCTCGGGTAAAGTTGGCTGGAGTCGACTAATCGAAGTGTTTTTACATATGGATTAAAATACTCAAAAACAAAAATCGGACCTGTATATTGTTAGCGAGCGAAAAATTCATCATTTCATCTTCTTTGTAATTTGCTACTATTCAAAATTGTACCTTAACGCGACGCAGTGTTAGAGAGTGGAAAAGAGAAAAAATACTGTTGAAAACCAAATGATAACGAGTTTTATTGGAGATAGGGATCAAAATATCTCAAAAACAAAAAATTTGATCTGAATTCAGTAGCGAGAGAAATATTCAGCATTTCAACCTCTTTATAATGAGCAATTATTTATAATTTATATTTCATATTACTGATCTCTCCTTGTTGATATTTTCAGTTCTATCGTTTAGTCTAAAGCTCACACTTTTTTATTTTTTATTTTATTTATTTATTTTTTTTTAAACTTGTATCACCAAAAGTTTCAGAGAAATCGGTGACTGGAAGTCCGTAACCTCCTCTTATTATAAAACTGAATACAGTTTGGATTCGTACGAAACAAGGTACAAAAAAAAAAAAACATTAAAAAAAATAAAGAGAGGATTCAATTGAATGAAGTCTTCCCCATTTTCATTCCATTATGCAATGCTTTAACTTTGAAGTGATATAGCACAACTGGTTAATACCGGTGAGCAGGTACTCTACTCGCATGCTTCTGCATAGTAATATAATTACATAAGCCACTCTTATCTTGGGCCTCAAATCATCATGTTAATTGAAATTCAATGCTACAGATAAATTTCGATGCGGAGTTTTGATTAAAAAAGATTTGGAAAATATTAATTAAAAATTCTAATAATCAATTATAAATTGCAAAATACTATCTTATATAAGCTTAAGATGGTATTCAGCCCTTACAGAATCTTAACAGCTTAAGGGTGAATTTTTATAATATACATTTATAAACTGTGAAACTAAATATCCAAAAACCGGCTTGAATAATAAGTCACTTGACTTAGAAACTAACACATACCAAATAAATAACTAAAATAACAATATTTTATATGATTTTGACTCGTAAGTTTTGACAGATGATAAAGTAAAGAATTATATCATCCTTCTCTTTTATATATTATTGTATATTATATATGTTACTATATGGAGATAAGATGGAAAGAAATGG